GCTTTGTTGGTTAGTGTGCTGCCTGCTAAGCAAGAAGTTCATAGTTTGATCCTCAGTGACTTCACACACTTGTTTTAAGGAGCAAGTGTGGCTTGGTTGGTTAGTGTGCTGCCTGCTGAACAAGAGGTCCATAGTTTGATCCTCAGTGACCTCACACACTTGTATAAAAGAAGCAAGTGTGCCTTGGTTGGTTAGGGTGCTATTGCTAATGCAATACCTTCAACACAGTTTTTCCACAGAGTTTCATAAAGGTTGATTTTTTTTGTTTGTTTGTATTTCAGGCTTTCCTTCAGAATTTTTGAAAGCAGTTAACAATAAACTCAAAGGATTAATATTAAATATAAAAGAATACTTATTAACAGAGAAATTAAGGAAAAGAAATTTTATTTTACAGGTGGGTTGTGATGAATTTCTAAGTGAATTCAACTTTACACTGAATCTGACTGAACCGAACGACCGACCGACCGACCGACCGACCAACTGACTGGCTGACTGACTGATTGACCAACAGACAGATCGACCGACCAACCGACCGACCGACTGACTGGCTGACTGAATGCCCGAATGAATGGCTGACTGACGGACTGACTGACTGACTGACTGACTGACTGAATGAATGACTGACTGGCTGACTGACTCCCCGAATGAATGGCTGACTGACTGACTGACTGATTGACCAACCGACCAATCGACCGACCAACTAACTGGCTGACTGACTGCACGAATGAATGGCTGACTGACTGACGGACTGACTGATTGACCGACCGACCGACCAATCGACCGACCAACTAACTGGCTGACTGACTACACGAATGAATGGCTGACTGACTGACTGACTGACCGACTGACCGACTGACCGACTGACCGACTGACTGGCTGAATGGCTGGCTGACTGACTGACTCACTGACGGACGGAAGTCCTGACTGACTGACTGACTGACGGACTGACTGACTGACTGACTGACTGACAATTGGCTGACTGACTTATTGACTTTCTTGTATTCAACAGGTTATTTATGAAGATTTTAGTGATATAAGTCAGATGAATGAAAAACTACGAATGGGATTGGAAGGGGGCAATTCCTTGATACAGCGAGTCATTCATTGCCATAAGTAAGTCATTATTTTAAGTTTGGTATATGAAACTGGTGGATTATTACAAATCATGCTTATTGATTGGCTATGCAACTATAGGTCTACCCTGATTTAGCAATAAATGCTTTGAATTAAAGTTAAATTGAATGTTTTGGTTTTCAAAGCTGGCATTCTTCGCTACTAGTATAGAATATTACTTATGGCCTACTACTAGCTCATCCAATCAGAACGCAGCATTGATGATAGACCACTAGTTGGATTTGACTAAAGRTCTTTAGTGATGGSCCTCTAGGACTAGAAAGCTGATGGAGTTCCTGTGGTTTGGCGGGAAATTTGGCGCCAAAACATATGCGCGCGCGGTATATGATTCTGATTCTTGACGTTTAATTTTTTTTTAAATCTTTATATTTCAGTTTAATGTTTTGGGCATTCGAGAGACTACGAGTTGTCCGMGAGTACCGGTCCCCACGGGGGATTCGTTCTTTCACCAAGGTTTTCATCTTCGTCATGCCTCTAGTTTTATCTCCATATTACGTGTTCGTRGGCAAGTCGTCCTCGAATGAATGGGGCCCATACTACATATCTTTGGTCTCCACATTTGTTTTCGGCACATTACAAGGAGTACAAGACATTTTGGACGATCCATTTGATGGAATCAGTGAAGATGATATCAATCTAGGAAGTGTGAGTAGTAATTCAAAAACCAACCTCGCCCTATTTCTATTGTTTGATGTCGGGTTTGAATTTCGATGGAAAAAGTGTCCCGGGTTTTGAATTGAGCCCCGGCTATCCCCTGTTAATATCAATGCTGAAATTCAAACCCTACATCAAAAACAAAAACAAAAAAAATCAAAAAAAATTTTTAAAAAATCAAAAAAAATCAAAAAAAAAAATCAAAAAAAAAAGGCGTGCTTGATTTTTAAAACAGTTAAAACGCACGTGATCGCCCTAGCATTTTAACTTTTATTTCAGACCTGTT